CCCCTTTCACACACACAGACATGGAAAGAGTAAAAAAAGGAGCATGACTTACCTTGTGCATAATAAGACCTTGTTTGAATTGTACACAGCCTGCAGTGCCGTGACCCACTTCCCTCAGTTTGGCTCCACATCTGCTCCAGCAACCAGTCTTCGGCTGTGACAGTGGCCGAGGGCGGCCAGCAGCACCCACGGGGCTACACTGTCAGATCCCTGACACTGTAAAGAGAAGCCTGCTGGACCTCCAGCTCACAGCCAGCACTCTTAAAAAATCAGCCAAATCAGCCAAGACGTGCTAAATTGAACCACTAATCCAGCACTGGGGTTTGCTTTTGCACAGTAATTACACACTTTTTTATTTTAGGCATAGATGTGAGCAGACGCACACATACAGTGCATACGTCATGACACGAGCGCACACGCTCCCCTTTGGGTGCTACAGCTCATGTTTCTCTTCAATTATTCCATCCTCTGCCCTCTCTCCTCCTCATAATCTGAATAAAGCCAGATCCGTGTCCTCTAGATATTTAGAAGCCGGGCCTCGATGCCAAAACATGTAACCTTCCTACTCTTTCAAGTGTGGAGTGAAATGGGAGTTCAGGGACGGGAGGAGGGGAGAGGAGAGGGTTTTTTTTGTTTTGGCTTGAGTGCGTTGACCTCGTAATTCCCTCTCGGGGGTTAAACAAAGTTGTGAAATTCAGTTTGGAGAAGCGGGTGTGGTGTTGATTGTAGAGAAAGAGGAGAAGGAATAGAGAGCAGAATTATGCCAAAGCTGAATTACTCTCCAACTTGCGAAGACATTACTCCTATTAAATTCTAATTAGGGTTGCTTTCTTGACCCTGCAAACAGACCCGTAGGATTTGGAGTCAAGTCTTTATCTCCGTTAATTGCATTGTAATGGCTCAAAGATAATGATAGATGCAGCTCCACGCCAAAATCATATTATTCCTTTGCCCAAGGCCTCTTGGCTCTTAAAATTTGCACAGAAACCCAGAGCTGTTTTTCGAGACTTTCAACTAACAAACAGAACTGCTTTGACAAAAGGTACAAATGTAATCACTGCTTTAACAACACCAGGATTAAGCCGGCCTGCCTGCAGGTACAGCGGCTCGCTATAGGCGGGGCCCACCATGGGGTTCATTCCAGACCCTCCTGGCATTGGCCCTTAATGATGTGTAATGGGGCCTCCTGCGCCCATTCCTAACCCCGGGACCTCTTCCTAATCACCGTGGCTACTAATGAGATGGAGAGACATGAAAGGGCTCGTTAGAAGACCCTCCCTTTAATGCCGGCCTATTATTAGCCACTTACCAAATCATTAGTCTCTAAACTGCAATTATGCTTAAAAACAGGAAGGAAAAGTGAAATAAAGAGTCAGTGTGTGGAGATTTGAAGCAAAAGACAGGTGGAGAAGTGGAGTGAAGGATTCAAGTGTTTACAAGCTTTCCATTGCTGTCAGAACCTCAGTGTTCCCCTTACAAACAACCGGAAATAAAAGCTGTGAAGCGCCAGTTCAATCAAGTTGTCTGTTCAACTGGTTTCCAGTGGCCTTTGGTGCGTGCAGTCTGGAGATTATTATAGAAGACACTTTCCCCTTTTAAAGTCAAGTGATGACATTCAGGCTCTGCGCGGGGAAAAAGCTCTGCTGTCAAGAGGTGAGAGAACCACAGTCGTATCCACAAGAGGCCTAAAAACTATGTACAGTGTATATTTGAGGAAAGGTGGCGTCCAAGAATGATATGGGAAACCATTATATGCAATTCCTAAAGCCCAAGAAGCAATAACCCAGAGGAGAAGAGGCCTCAGAGGGCATTTTAAATGTGTTGTACAAAATTCCTGTTCTATACCAAATTAATAAACATTGTTTTCAGAAAACCATGGCGAGAAATACCTTAGTAATTTTCCAGCCCCAAACAAACACCTTTAAGAGCAATGAGAAAAGTTCTTAACAAATTAACCATGTTTGTATTGCAGTGAGGGAAAAACCCATATTGACTCATTGCAGGAGAGAATTATAAAGTCCAGGGTTAAATCTAACTTTTTAAAGATTATGAATGCAATTTAAGAACTATTT